ACCCATATTCTCTGTATACCTCGTGATTTCCACATTCTAAAGCACACAGCAAGAGTACTCTCTGTGTCACCATAAATGATAACAACATTTGTGGATGATGTCTCAATCTGGTTGTTATACACTTCAGCTCTTGACATGTATAACTCCATGTTGACTGGGATCACGATCACAAAGGCTAAGCAGACTCTTTGGACTTCACTTTTTTCTCTCAAATCTGAGAGAAATTGGAGACCCTGGTCATCATTTGAGATGGCCAGCCCAATCCAGTTCCATTTGAAGTGAAGCATCAATGAGACCATGGCCAGGGCCAGAGCTGTGTCCTTGGGGGCCATCTGATACAGATTGGGAAACTGTTCATGATCACTCAGGATAGAATGGAAAGGTCCGTAGGTGAGCTGAAGAACATAAAACACGGGGAGCAGCATGAGGTAGAGGAATGTCAGAAATCTCAATGAGAGCCCTGAGTTGTGTGAAGTACCAGTTAAAATGACAGGAAGGGCAATTTGTCCCTATTACTACAGTTATACTGCACTGTTAGAAACATGAAAAAATCACTTTCTACAGTTTATTCAAGGAATATCCCCTTGACTGTTAATTCTTCTTCTCATCCATATCTCAAACAATGAATTGGGAATGTCCCATTGAGTGGCTGATTAATTACACTTGAACTTGATTTCCCTAAATTTGAAGCCAATCTCCCCCTTACACTCTCCTCAGAATAAGGCTTAGCCAAGTAATGAGAAAGATTCAATACTTTCCCACCCAAACAAGCTCACCTGTAGATCTTTGAAGACCTGCAAAAAATGTGCCAGGCTCAAGGATGGTGCTAACGTTGGACCTGTAATCATTACAGAGCATTTGTTCTTATTTTTACAGATGTAGTTAAGTGGAAGTCTAGACCATTTTGCAAATTTTTGAAATGATTTTTTATCATTATAATTGTCAGTGAAGAAGTAAAATATGAGAGACACATTTGGTAGAAGATATAGATTCCTGTTGATTTCTTCCACTGCAAAAGCCAAAGGCAGAGCAAACTGGTAGTTTTCATTTGGTACTCTGAAAATAAGGGCAAAGGATTTAGTATGGATAACGCTCTATAGATGAATGCTTTGTAGTTAATACAAGGATTATCATGCATTTGATGGCATTTTCAGATATAGTTTGACAAATTCCCCTGTTTTGTAAGGTTGGAAAAACAGAAGATGCTTGAGAGCTTGAAAAAGCCCAAAAAGTTGATGAAAGTGGATGTCACAAAAATGAGAAATGCGTTCTTGTCCACATTGACAGAGAATTTCATCTTGGCAATTTGAGTACTGGATGCACATTTGATAAATGATATGTGTGTGTGTGTGTGTGTGTGTGTGTGTGTGTGTGT